TTCACACAAAAGCTGAGTTCTCGCTGCATGAAAGACACGATCATAAGGGGACAAAGGAAGGTAATGTATAGGTGATATTATCCTGTTTATTTTTAATTTATATTTGGTATACTTTTCTACCTCCCCTGCCTCCATGCTTCTCATTTTATCAAGCAGTATAAATCATTAGCATGGTTTCCTACTGTTTAAAAAAATATATATTGAAATTTTCCTTGATATATGTAGAGGCATTTGATCAAGAGATTCTTAGAGTTTCAATATATTTTTTTTAAACAGAAGGAAACCATGCTAATGATTTATACTGCTTGATAAAATGAGAAGCATGGAGGCAGGGGAGGTAGAAAAGTATACCAAATATAAATTAAAAATAAACAGGATAATATCACCTATACATTACCTTCCTTTGTCCCCTTATGATCGTGTCTTTCACGCAGCGAGAACTCAGCTTTTGTGTGAAACACTTGAAAATATTTCGGGCATTCTTTGCCTCCGGTGCTTAGGATATGCCTGTGCTTGGACTTGTTGTGTGTACAAATTCCATTTTCGGTAAATCGTGATCCGCACATATGACAAGAGAACCTTCTTTTTTCGGTTTTTGTTTTTCCAGCCATACTATAAAAAAACAAAAACAAAATAAAAACTTATTTTAACCCCGTTATATATAAAAACTTATTCCATCCATCAACAAAATTATGATTTCCCAGGATTTAACCCCGTTATATATAATTTTTCTTTTGAGTTACTTTGAGGTTCAACAATCACAGAGGATGCAATAACAATTATTATAAAGAAAGTGCCATTACTAGGGTTATGAGAGTTTTTTATCGTGTATTTTCTTGTCTTGATATCACGTCAACCATCACAGAGGATGCAATAACAATTATTATAAAGAAAGTGCCATTACTAGGGTATGAAAGTTTTTTTTATTGTGTATTTTCTTGTCTTGATATCACGTTTTATATAGGAGTGAAATTCAATTCAAGAAAATAATGACCAGAAACGAGAATTAAAGAAGAATGCAACTTAATCAAATTGGGAAATTCACAGAAAAATTCATACAAATTCAATTTTAAAGTTTGAAGAAACCTGAAGTTAAGGGAAATTCATCCAAATTCAATTTTAAAGTTTGAACAAACCTGAAGTTAAGGGGAAATTCGCATACAAATTCAATTTTGAAGTGAAGAAACCTGAATTTAAGGGCAACTCACGGAAGATTGTGTTTGCTTCTAGAAAATTCTTGGGAAATTATAACCAGTGAAATGGAGTTTTAAAGGAAGTGACCAATTTGGGGTTTAAATATTAAAGTTCTTCAATCTTGTGGATAAAATGTTCCTACACAAGAAAAATAGGATATGAGTAAGGTATTGTGTAAGAACATTTTCAAAAACTAAGAATTGAGAATACAATTGAGTTCTTCTGAACACACCTCCAAACTGGTGATGTGTTCTCGTCCTATATTTCAATCTTTTCCATGGTCTTCCGTTGGCAAATAAAGAATGGATTGTGGTAGAGTTTTAAAGAATTTGCAGTTCATAGTCATTTACTTCAATTTTTCTATGTTGACATTAAACCGTCAAAGCAAAATGTTTCAGTTGCTTTAATTGTACACAAAAACCACGACTGGGTTTAAGGGAGTGAGTTGATGGCGTCTTGCTGTTGAACTTTGATGAGGTCATCTGGAAATTATTCTATGTTCTTGCTATCTCATTGTTGAATGACAGATTGCGTAATTTGAGTCTCTTAAATGTACTGTTGTCCATACCTCCCCTGCCTCCATGCTTCTCATTTTACTGAGCAATATAAATCATTGGCGTGGTTCTTACTTTCAAATTAAAAAAAAAAAGTTGAAATTTTCCTTGATATATGTGGAGGCATTTGATCAAGAGAATCTTTATTTGACATCATCCCCGTTTGTAGTAGGAACTTGAAACAGAACTACTTGCAATGTGGGTTTGGTGTGGAAAACAAATGGAGTTTGTTCTCATGAATTCCACGCATATAACTCAGATCCTGGCTTGTGATCAGAGTTGATTTATTTTACCATTAGATTCTTAGCGAACATGCTACAATTTTGCTAGTTTGCTACCAGATTCACCTATGACTACGTTTCAATCTCCCCAGATATTGTGATATCTAAACTTCCAACGAAAGCATTTAATATTGTATATACAACCTCCTGTTGATCAAGGAAAAACATTTTTAATACTCCCAACTGACTTTTCTTTCTTACAACTTTAGTTTGGATTTCTGGAGAACATAAACTCTCGAATCACTTAGCCCTCTATATCAACCTAAAATATCTTCTTTTGTATCATAGAACTCATGGTCAGTTTGAATTCAAGCTCGAGATTCCACTGAATTATTCACATGGTATATGTTTATTATTACATAGAACAGCAATCCCCACGTTTTCAAATAAAAGAGCATCCAAGGTTCAGCCTTTCATCAGATTTCTTCACAATCAAAGAAATAAAAATCAAAGTATTTCTACTAATTTTGATTAAATCTTAACACAAAATATACAGATTTGTTTAAATTAAAATTTAAGAACAAGAAAAGAGAAGTGAAATTGGCAATTACCTTTGGAGAGATTAACGAGAAGTGAAGGTACCGAGAAGGGAAGGATAGGGATCTTGGAAATTGGAGAATTGAATTTGATAGTATTGTGGGTGCTTTTATAATTGGGGTTGGAGAATTTGAGATTTTTATGAATCCTTGTTGATTTAGGTTTCTATAAGCGTTTTTCTTTCTTTCCTTTTTTTTTTTTTCTGAAATTGAGATAAATTTGAATTACCTATTTTTAAGTAAAAGTTCACACACGATAAAAGAGCATCCAAGGTTCAGCCTTTCTTTAGATTTCATCACAATCAAAGAAATAAAATATAAAATATAGGGTTAGGTATAAATTAAATTTAAAAACATGAACCGAGAATTGAAATTGACGAGAAACTTTATCATGGAAGAATTAAGATTTTATGAATCTTTGTTGGTGTAGGTTTCCTAATTGAACCGAAGGTCACGTTTTCTTTTTGCTTCTCATAATACTACGAGGAAAAGGACAAAACTGTTCGAATTAAAAGTATTGATACTCTAGAATTTGTTTGAGAACAAAATACTAGTAAGAATAAAAATAAAAGTGTTGGCTAAAATATTTTACAATGTCAAGGTAAGTTGTAGGTCAGGGAAAATTGAAATACGTAGCGGTTCCCTTTTTTTTTTTTTTTTTTCCCACATCATGAGTTCTTTTTAAACCACAAAAAGAACATCCAAGTTTCCGCCTTTCATATATCTTGTATATGAGTTTTATGAGCAAGTTATTCTTGACCAGCTTCTTTTGAAAAATCTCGAAGTTAAATCAAAATCAATAAGTTTTGATATTAATAAGGGAAAATTGCAACATAGATCCCTAACCTTTCAATTTTAATTTATCATAACCTTCAATTTGTGCTAGAGAAGGTCCCTAACCTTTCATAAATTAGCACATGGAGTCATCCATTTGACCCCACCTGACCGAAGTGAGAACTCCAAATAAGGGGAGAAATTATATGGCGTTCACCTTTGTGATTAAAAGTGAACATGTTGAAGAGAGTAAAACACGTGAGAATAAAGAGCAATCCGACTAAAAAAAAAAGTGTAAACTGCTATAGCGAAGTAAATGCCGACGTCGCTGCTGCTACAGATCAGGTATCCTTTTTCCATTTTTTTTGTGGCCGACGTTGCAAATCAGAGGTGCTGTGTGTCTCCCATTTTTTCCATGATCACATGTGGCCGGCTTTGCAAAATCGAGGTCAGATAAGAAAAGGGATGGTGGTGGTGGTGGTGGTGGTGCACACGACGCTGATGTCGAGGTGTTTGGTGATGTTGCGATCTGATAGCAATGATGGTGCTAGAGTTTGGTGTGTGGTGGTGTTGTGGGTGCTGTGGTGGTGGTTTTGCGGTTGCGGTTTCTGTGGTGTGTGGTAGTGTTGCGGTTACTGTGGTGATGATTTTGCATTGTTGTGGTGGTGGTTTTACGTTGTTGTGGTGTATGGTGGTTTGTTTGGTCTGGTAAGGTGGTGGTCGTGGCGGCGATCGTGCAGTGGTCATGGGACGAGAATGGAATGGGATGGGATGGAGGTGTTTGTGACTAATTATTTGGTTTATCGTGACCAACAAATAACACGTGATCTAAAAAAAGTGATTGTGACTGGAAAATTACTTGTGACCAATAAATTTGATTTTGTGATCAATGAATAAATTGTGATCTATAAAATTTATAATTTGTGATTGAAAAGTAATTTTTGACCAAATTGTATATGGTGACCTTAATATATTTAATTAATGAAATATGTTTTTAGTTAATTATTTCATAAATAAAATGTAATTAACATTTGATTTTTGAACCTTGTTTCTTAGAATCTCTTAAATATGTAATTTCTCTTTTTTACATGGTTCCACTTGGCCATTTTGCATTGGCTCTTGGCCAAAAAAAAAAAAAAGTAGCACTTGTAAGGTGCCTGTAAACAATTGCCCCATATAAGAGAAATTGTATGAAAGATTAAAATGGAAGACGAGATTTGGGTCATATATATTTTTCAATATCTACTTGTTCATGTTAGTATTTTATGAATAAAAACAGTTGTAAAGTAAAATTGGAATTCTACACAATTAGAGTAGATGGTGTAATTTCACAAAAAAAAGAAAGAAAGAAAGAAAATTGTTAAGTAGAAAAAAAAAAGTGTTTGTGTGTGTGTGTGTGTGTTTGTTTTTTTTTTCATCTTAGCACGGCTTTAAATTTTTTTAGTCCAATCTTGAATCTGACCTTGTTTATGGGGTTGATTATGACTGAACTTGATCTAGCTCAAGTCAATTTTAACCAATTTTTTAACGGGCTTCTACAAGAAAATGTTCGATTCATTTTTTGTATATAAAAACAAGGTAAATTAAAAATCAGAAAGTGATATTATTGTAAGGGGGCCATTTTGAAGTATTCTGCTTATTAGTAACATACAAGCGATAGGTTAAACTTTGGTGACGAAAAGCATAGAGATACGGCCCTTTGTCCATATGAAGAGTGAACATACTTCTATAATTTGCTTCCTTACATTGATCAACAAGTCTGGATCTGAACAAAATAAGAAAATTGCACACTTAATCAATCTATTACCTTAGCAGCAAGTTGATTTTTTTACCATTTTATTGTGGTTGCACAATCAATCTTCAATAACAATCTCACGCCAATTGTCTTATTTGAAAAATACATGTTTATTCATAAAATCCCTAGAAAATCAAGATTGCGTTGTTTATAAACGTGATGATCAAGAGCAAGCTTTTTTGTTAGGAGATTGGAAGTAAAAATAGGATTAAAGACTTCAAATATGGAAAAATATAAGTGCTAATCTCAAATGCCTTAGGTCATTAATTTTAAGTTCGATTATAGCTTTTCCAAAATACAATGTCGAGTCAATATGTGTAGAATTAAATGAACAACAATCGAATAGAACTAGTACATACTTCATTCCACTCAATATTGAAAGGAATAATTGAAATGACAAGCTAAAAAATGCAATTTCCCCTTGAAAATCAAATGTACCATAATGGAGGTGAAAAATTACAACGAGTACATAATTTAATTGAATGGTACCATCTTCCATGTTAAATATTCCCATGTCATGGCCACCTCCACCTGGTTCTTGGGAATAGAGCTCAACATTATCATCAGTAAAGTATATGCAATTTGGCTTGATACATTTTGATGAGGCAATTGATGTAGATACATTACTACCTAAGAACAATGCTTGATCTCCTAAACTAGTCACTTTAGTTAATCTATATGCATAATTACTCCCCTCTTCATAACATTCATCTAGCCTCCAAACAAAAAATACAGTTGTATAGTATCCAACTTCCTTCTCCTCTTCAATGCCACTGTCTTTGACATCCTCCACCTCATCAACATTATCATTACCATCAACATCACCCTCGTCCTCCTCATTATTATCACTCTCTTCCTCGTCGCCAACATCATTGTCTTCTACATCATCATCATCATCGTCGTCAACACCATCAAAATCACTTGAAATACCCTTTCGGAAACGAGAAACAAGTAGAAGATGTTCTGATGATTCGACTAGATACTTCTGATATGTATCATTCGTTTCAATTGGAGCAGGGGCGATAACTATTGCTTTTGGGGCCATCGGCATCATCAAAGTCACAAACAATTACTACTCCATGAACATCTACGGCATAAAATTTGCCATTGTAGAAAATAATATCTTGATAAACGAGAGAATGGATGGAGATATTGGTCCAAACAGTATCTCCTAATTTTGTAAAAGCCAACATAGAATACTCTCCATAAATAGCAACTATAGTACAATCCTCATTATAATCGTGTAAACTTTTCTCCTTAAGAGGATTTGAGGACATCGCTATTTTCAAAACAAAGAAATACCAAATCTCTTGTAGCATGATTTTCTCAAAATATTGATACTCATTGGGGAAGGTCTGCATAGAAGGTAGGGAAATTTGTCGCCTGGAGAAGGGGTGCAATAAATTGATTTGTAAATCAATGCCAATTGTCCACAACCATCCATAATGTGCTCCTCCGCACTTCCTGCCACTCGCTTCTGGCAACTGGAGTTGATATGTTTTTGAGGTTAATAAGTTTAGAAAGCAACGAATAGATGCCTCTTGATCTTCGGTATCTATTTTTTCAGCAAGCATGATCCGAGGATATCTAGTAGGCAATGAAGGTTTCTTCTTCAATATTGAAGTCACTGATTGCCATGATTTACAAACGGTAATAAAGGAAGAAAAATCCTCTATTACAGTTAAACATTGTGCGATAACAAGCAAAATGTCCATTGGAAGATTCGTCCAATCTGCCATGTTCAGCTATTAACTGCAGCCTGTAAATTCAAGATGAAAATAATGAAATAAGTGAAATAGGAAAAAAGATGATATTTTTAATTAGTCTCACACCAAAAATATTTACTTATGAAGAAAATTAAGTATGTTAGTGCAGCAACAAGCATTCATATTTCCCCCTTATTTTTTTACCTTCATTCTTCGAGTTCGAGCTATATTAAAGCAAAAGTGAATTTTCATTACAATAATTCAAAAATACTGTTCATTGGATTAGTTAGAATTATCAATTGATTAATTATGAAATACTTATGTGTAAAATGATTGAAAAGTATGTTAGAATAATTAATAAAAGATTAACATCAAAAATATATATAATATATCTGTGCTTCCTTCCCGGCATAATCCAGCATAAAAGATTCACATTGCGAGCCACATAACTTGAGTAATCACAATCCGTTGCATACAGGTAACAGCAAAAACTCAAACTAAAAAGAAAGGATATCTACAAACAGAGAGAAATTAAATGAGCAAATAAGTATTAATATTGAGAAATTGAGAACAAAATACTACTGTAAGAGTAAAAGTAAAAGAGTTGGCTGAATTTTTTTACAATGTCAAGGTAACTGGTAGTTCAATGAAAATTGAAAAAATAAGCATCTATTTCTCCGTAACAAGTATGAAAAAGGAAAAGGGGAGGCATCAATTGAACAACTAGGAATCTACTGGATTGTATAACATTGAGATGCAAGAATCAGGTCCCATTAATTTCATCGGATTCAGATTGAAATCCAATCAATTGACAGTCCTAATTATATGCGATGCAAACGGTTCCGATTCCATCATTTTGTTAATAAAGAAAAATATAAACGTGTGAATGGAGTAAAATTTTCGATTAATGATTGAAAGTAATTACATTAATGTGTAACACTATTATATAATTTTATCCTTTATTTTCCAAAATTTTCTCAGAGGGACAAACTATTCCAAGTTAATTAAGGACGGATCCCATGAATAATTTGTTTTCAAATACCTCTATCACAGTTTTTCTTATAAGATTTTTGATCTACTTTCTGATCTTCAGTTAATCAAAAATCAAATAGCATCTAACTAAATATAAAAGAGTGAGTTAGAGTTATTGTTCACAAGTCGTGAGCCGAGCCGAGCCGAGCCAAATGGCTTTCGGTTCGGCTCTGCTCGGCTCTTTTTTTTTTTTTTTTACGTTTGATTCAGTATTTTAAGTTACAAATATTCGTTTTAAGCTATTTAAAATTCGTTGGAAATGTTGAAGTGCGGCCATGATAAATATATGATCAATAATTTTAAATATCAAAAATTGAAGCGCTGCCATAATAAATATATGATCGATAAATTTTAAATATCAAAATAATTTTACATTAATTGTGAAACGTAAAGTCGTGATTATTTATATTTCTTTTCAATCTCAACCTCATTTCAATGTCCTTTTTTCGAACTTTAT